ACTTAGACATTCACGGGTAAACTTGTACCTTCACGCGAACTTCACGCTAACTTCACGCTGAGCTCCCCCACTGGGTCTCATAAAGTTCCACTAAATTTGTTCAATTAAGCTCTTAAATGTTGACATAGAACCTGCTCAGGGAGAGTAAACACCACACAAAACCCCTGTGTGGGTTTGAATTTGTGAGGACAAATATGTATTGAACACTCAACCAATCCGATATTCGAAGCTCGATGTGGTGTTCCAACATTGTAAAGCATGCCCCCACCAATCTTGTTCCCCACCAGGTGGACTAGTTGACTATGACTGATCAACAGTAAATGCCTTTGAAGAGCACCCCTCCAATCACCGCGGCCACTGTACATGCAAACAGATTGGGCCATTCTTGCACAGTCGTTGGCAGGCCAACGGGCAAGAGATCTTCGCCGCTTCGAAGGTTGGCATGATCGGGCTTGACAGTGGTGGGACCTGTTGTTTGGACCGGGTCGCAGTCTAGTAACGATATCCAGGTTCGGGATGCTCTCAAGCTCCCAGGAGCCCACTAAACAGCCATCCTTCAAAACTTGGTTTTCTTAAGCTTGGCCTGTCTAATGAACTTACGGACACTGCCAAGTTTGGCCTTTTGCCATGCACCAACTCTCTTGGCCTGGGCAGAATGCGGGCTGGGCAGAATCCAGCAGAAATGCTGTGGCACTATCAAAATTTCTCTATCAGGCTAGCACCGGTTTTTTGTTGGATGAACTCAAGCGGATGAATGCTTCCTTCACGGCCCCCAGCAACATGAGTCCACAATTGTCCTGGCAAGATAGCTGACGGGAAATGGGATCAGAATGCACGGTATTCTCATGATGATCATGCAATGTTTTGGGGCGGTCCATCAATTTCATGTGGAGTGTGCAGATCTTCTTTCCATACTTGACAGGATATATTTGCGTTTTGCGAAGTCCAGGGCCTCCGGTCCTGGGCAATGGGATCGAGGTGCATTGAGCTGTTCTCTTTTCTGGACATTTATGGACCATGTTGCAAGTATAGGCCGGCCTGAGTCCCTGACACAGAAACCTTACCATTTTCCTTGACCTTTTTCACGGCAACCTTTAGGGCCTTCGTGTTGGCAGCCAACTCACGGAGTTTCTCCTTGGACAACTTGGTGTACAACGCGATCATCCACGGCCTCGGAAGCAGGGTCAGTGGAGCTAGGTTAAAAAAAAACATATATATATATATGTAAATGATGAGCCAAAGAACTGCATATCCTTCCCAGACTCGATTGAATGATCGTCCAAACAGTTTTTATCCGCGAAGGTATCGTATCGTTTTGAGATTGAGATGCTGGCGGTGTTCCCCACAATCGCGATGGCTTCAGTGTGGGGGGTCCCCAGGATCCCATCTTACTTGGTGGCCGGTCGAAATGGGTGAAAGGTGAATGCAAGGCAAGTGTATATTTTTTTGGAAAGTGGATTCAGTAATCTTCAAGAAACTTTGATTGTGCCCATTAAATTGTTAAAAACCTTCAAAGGAAATCTGGTTCTGGGTCCCACACAAGAATTGCTGGCTCCAAAAGCCAATCTCCGCTTGAACTCTTCTTTGTGTTTCCATCAGGTCTGGAAAGTAGCGCATAGTGCTCGAGTTTGGTTGCTCAAGGAGCACATAAACTCCACGAGCAGTTGCCAGTATCATCAACATAATCGCCCGCGCGGCCATCCTGAGCTGGCGAGTCCATGCCACAGATCGGTTGAACCATGCAGAGTGTGCATGCACATGTATGCATACGCACATGTGCATATTTGTTCTAAATTGCAGTTGAAGTTCAAAGACCCTTTTTCAACATAGCTTCGAGTCTGGTCCCCGTAGGGATTGTCTTTAGAACGCTTGCTTGTGGCCTTGTTGACCCACACAAAGCTGGAGCAAGGGGGTCCTAATGTAAGGATCCCATCTGGAACCAGCCGCAATGTTGAAAGTATCGCGGAGGCGAAACCTCTCCTGAGTGCGTTTGCTTAAAGCGTTCCTCCGCATTGCATGCTATTTTTTGGTTGAGATCATGTAGAATCTAGTGGGTGTCATTTGATTCTTGAATGAAGACAAGCCGATCGATGCAACTTGGGCCCCCACATAGTAGTTATGTCGTTGGTGTGACCACGGGAGACAATGTCGAAGAATTCCCTGAGCATGAGTACAAGCAAGCATTGTGGCCTCTTGAGCTTTGTTGCACAGCCATGGTGTGTGCCGCATCTAACAGATACTGCAGGAGTAGAAGTGATCTATAAGGCGATTGGCCAGCTCAATGATTGCTAGATCCATGGTCCGTAGGTCAGTTCAGGTGCTGAGTCCCCAGCGACTTGAGCCCAGCT